CTATAACATACACAGGGACTGCTGTTCTCTATAACATACACAGGGACGGCTGTTCTCTATAACATACACAGGGACTGCTGTTCTCTATAAAATACACAGGGACTGCTGTTCTCTACAATATACGCAGGGAGTGCTGTTCTCTACAGTATACATAGGGACTGCCATTCTGGCTGATATACTCATGGATTGCTATTCTCTATAATGTACACAGGGGCTGCTATTCTCTATAATATACATGGGGACTGTTGTACCCTCTAATGTATGTAGTAAAGATAAAGGCACTATAGTCTTTAGAGAGAGATGACTGGGGGCGGTTTACACCTCAGCTGAGGGGAGAGTGCTTTGCAATAACCTCAGCTGGTGCAGGAATTGAAGCCACGTGTTATCTCCATCACAAACCCACGCTCATAACATATTCAATGTCATGTAGAAAAGCACGATGGTATAATGAAACTTTACAGAAGCTGCTTTGGCCTCAGCTGGAGTTTTTTTTGTTTAGTTCTGGGTACTACACTTTCAGAAGAGTATGAAGGCTTTAGGGAAGCTGTAGAAATGATTGACAAGAATGGTTCTGTGGATGAGGAATTGGTCAGTAATTTCAGTGGCTGGATGGACTCCATTGAAATTTCCTGCCTGCATTTTTCAGGTTGTCGGCTCTCAAGCTCGGATTCTGTATTCAGACCAGAAAGGACGTGTGAAGATAGCAGTTGCAATAAATCAGGCTATTGCTGCAGGCAAGATCAAGGTAACAGCATTTATGTAACACCTTTAATAAAATCAAACATCCCAAGGAACCTACCTAGCGACATTATAAAGCACAGTTTGACACCAGCCCACAAAAGGATATGGATATTGGTGCAGGTGTCTGAAATCTTGGCCAAAAATGGGAGGCTTTACCATAAGATCATAGAAACATAAGAAATTGGAATGTGAGTAGACCATTCAGCTCCTCGAGCCTGCTTCTTCTTTCAATCAGATTATGCTGATCTGACACAAAAACATAAGTTGCTGGAAAAGCTCAGCAGGTCTGGCAGCATCTGTGAAGAAAAATCAAAGTTAATGTTTCGGGTGGAGTAACCCTTCCTCAGAACTTGAGTTCAAATCGCACCATGGCCATTAGTGAAATTTGAATTCAATAAAAGTCTGGAATTAAGAGTCTAATGATGACCATGAAATCATTTCTGATTGTTGGAAAAACTCATCTGGCTTACTAATGTTTTTTTAGTGAAGGAAACTGCTTCTTTATCTGGTCCAAAATGCATGTGACTCCAGGCCCACAGCAATGTGGTTGACTCCTAACTGACTGCTAGGATGGCCATAAATGGGATAAATGCTGGACCAGCCAACGACGCCCTCATCCTGTCAATGAACAAAAGTCATGCCCTTTGGGCTGATGTGCACCACCACAATGACCAGTGACAGGCCAATGTCAAAAACCACAACCCAGGACCCCTGCTAGCTCTGTGTGTGCCAGATCCCTGCCTCTCAAGGAATGGCCTCTTCAGGCATCAGTTAGGAGGCCCCGTATAAAGACCACCCCAGTGCTGCCAAGCTGACATGGATCGTTTGCAGTGTCCCCATTACCGTTCCCAGATGAAAGGACCAGCAGCAATGAAACTGAACCACGTCCGGTGGAGATCATTGGGAACGGGGTGGGGAGGTGGGCAAATGGTTCCTGGTTTTGAGGTGGAACATGTTCAGGAGGGTGAGGAGGGTACAATATCGAGGAGAGCATGGAATGGTCATGTTTGGGGGCGAGGGGTGTGGAACAATGGTATGGGCAGTGGTTTCAACAACAGATATGCTGAGATAGGGATGGTGTAAGGGGATGTTATGGGACGTGGGAGTAGGCAGTCCTAGTGATGGCACAGATCTGTGGTTGGAATGCTAACTCAGTGTCACGCTGTAACACCAAGGTCACTACAGCCTAGTCCAGCCACATCCAATTGCTCAGGACGGGACTGGAGAGGGCAGCTAGAGGGAGGAGAAAGAGGAGGTGAAGTCAATGGCTTCAATCAGCCCAAAATTAAATTGGAGGAAATTTTGGCCCTCAAGTCATTAGATGAGAATAATTAATAAACAATTGTTGATGAGGTGAAGCTGCCGGTTGTCAGTGTCCTTTTTAAAATATCTCCTCGAGGGCCAGTGAGTAGATGAGAAAAAGGAGGAAGCCAAAGGTTGATCCTTGTCAAATACCTGTGTTAACAGTACTTAGCATTTTAAAACAAATGTCAGAATACCATCGTGCCCATTGTGTCTGTATCCAATTAGTAACACTCCCTCATATTCCTGCAAAATGCTTCTTCTCAGTGTATCTCTCACTTCCCTTTGTGAATTATTGCTAAATCTGCTTCCACTGCCTTTTCAGGCAGCACATTCCAAATCAAACCAACTCATTGTGTTAAAAAAAACCTTATCTGTGATGTGTTTTTTTTACCAAAAACGTTTAATCTGACCTTCTGGCTATTAACCCTCCTGCTCCTGGAACCAGTTTCTTCTGATTTCAAATGTTTTAAAATATATGTAATACAAACACAAAACTGTTTTGAAAATCCTGTAGAAACTCTTCTTAATTTTGAACATCTCCAATAAATCCTCCTTTGCTGCTTGAAGGAGAAAAACACCAGCTCCTCATGTCTCTCTACATAACTGAAGCCTTCCAGTGATTTCTAGCCCATTCAATCCTTTCTAATTTGAATGAGGGTCACCCCTCAGGTTTCAAATACAGGGGCGGGGATGTCTTGCTGGAATGGTCCAGGGTCTTGGTGAGGCCACACCTGGAGTATTCTGTGCAGTTATGGTCTCCGTATCTGAGGAAGGATGTTCTGGCGATGGAGGGAGCACAACAAAGATCCCTGGGATGGGAGGACTTCTGTATGAAGAGAGACTGGATAGGTTAGAACAGAAAATCCTTCATTACAGGAAGGATGTGGAAGCTTTAGAGAGGGTGCGGAGGAGATTTACCAGGATGCTGCCTGGACTAGAGGGCAGGTCTTATGAGGAAAGGTTGAGGGAGTTAGGGCTTTTTTCATTGGAGTGAAGAAGGATGAGAGGTGACTTGATAGAGGTTTACAAGATGATGAGAGACATAGATAGAGTGAATAGCCAGAGACTTTTTCCCAGGGCAGAAATGACTATTACGAGGGGGCATAATTTTAAGGTGATTGGAGGAAGGTATAGGGGAGATGTCAGAGGTAGGTTCTTTACACAGAGCGTGGTGGGCGTGTGGAATGCACTGCCAGCAGTGGTAGTGGAGTCAGATACTTTAGAGACATTTAAGCGACTCTTGGATAGGCAGATGGAGGATAGTAAAATGTAGGGTATGCAGGGCAGATTGATCTTAGTAGGATAATAGGTCGGCACAACATCATGGGCTGAAGGGCCTGTACTGTGCTGTACTGTTCTATGTTCTATCACAGCAGGTCAGGCAGCATCCATGGAGAGAAAGCAAGCTAACGTTTCAAGTCCAGATGTCTCTTTATCAGATTTGACGTGTAGTGTCTGATGAAGAGTCATCTGGACTCAAAACGTTACCTTGCTCTCTCTCCACAGATGCTGCCTGACCTGCTGAGATCTCCAGCAATTTTTGTTTTCAGTACAAATTCTAGCATCTGCAGTAATTTGCTTCTGGATTGGTTTAGAATTAAAATCACCGGAATTTAAAAGAATCTCATAGAAACCTATGAAATTCTGACAGAACTAGACGGGGTAAAGCAGAAAGAGTGTTCCTGATGACTGGGGAGTCCAGAGCCAGGAATCACAGTCTAAGGACATATAGGACTCAGAGGTGGAGAAAATCCCTCCCTAAGGGCATTGTGGGTCAACCCTCAGCACATGGACTGCAGCGGTTCAAGAAGGCAGCTCACCCCCACCTTCTCAAGGGGCAACTAGGGATGGGGCAATAAATGCTGGCCCAGCAACTAACCCACATCCAACAAATGAATAAATTTTTAAAAACATTTCTTTATCCAGGGAGTGTTGAGCCTGTGAAATTCTTTGCCATGGAAAGCGGTTGAAGCCAATACATCAAATGTGTGCAGGAAGGGTTTAGATATAATTGTTACGGTTAAAGAGATCAAAGGGTATGTTATGGGGAGAAAGCAGGAACAGGGGACTGAGTTGGATGATCAGATGTGATCATATTGAATGGTAGAGTAGGCTCAAAGGGCCGAATGGCCTAGCCCTGCTTCTTTTTTTTTAAGTTTCCTATGTTTTCGAAGTTCGCCAGCCTATTCATATCCAGAGAAAGGTGTCCCAGCCTGTTCAGTTCTTCCAGATAGTTATAACCTCTCAGAATTACAATTTACACAAAGTAATCCCATTCTAATCTTGGTTCACCTCGACAGGCTCCTGTGGTGATTAGCCGAGACCACCATGATGTCAGTGGAACAGACAGTCCCTTCAGGGAAACCTCGAATATTTATGATGGGTCGGCGTTTTGTGCAGGTTGGTGCCATTCACTGAATGGACTCTATAAGGAAGCGTCAGTGTACGAAGGGGTCATTCAGCCCATCGAACTGTCCCATTTGTCATCCATCTTGCTGCTCCAATTTTGTAACCGGATAGCTTACTGAATCAAAATCGATCAATCCTTGTTTTCAAATTTCAATTGACCTTGAACAATAGAATCTTAGAACACAGGAAGAGGCCATTCAGCCCACTGACACTGTGAATGGCCTGTTGCTATGCTGTTTATCCTGTGCATTGATATGTCAATAGTCCCATCCCTAAACATCTCCATTTGTCTCTCCTCATTCAAATGTCTCTGTACCTCATTTACCAAGCTTTGGGTCACCTGTCTTACTATGTCCTTATGTGGTTCAGTGTCAAATTTTGATCATCAGTCTAGTGTTTTTATACCACCTTAAAGGCACCATATAAATGCCAGTTGTTGTTGTTCCTCTTCACGTTACTGCTGGGCCTTCCTGAGACCACACATGTTCCCCTGATGGCTCTCAATTCACAGACAAACAGGAGAATACTCAAGAGAATGTCACGGGAGGACAGAATGATAATGAGGAGCCTAACATCCCCCATGTTCTGAACTGATTGAGTGTGCGATTCCTCTTTCTCTTCCTAGACATGGCGGTGCAGAACGTTATTGGCGATTCCTTCCGAGGGGCAACGTGGGTGGCTTTACACAATGGTGGAGGTGTGGGCTGGTGAGTGTGAATCAGAATGTGTTAATGCTGTCCTTTGTTCAGGAGCCAACTTTAAACTGCCGCGTGACAGGGTTCCACACCTCGGAGTCAGGAACAGGCGATAGGAACACATTCTGAATCAGGAGCAAGGAATTCTTCCTCAGACCAGAGTGGACTGAGGTGGGGGACGTGACTGAGATGTATAAAATTGAGGGACACAGCCAGGATCGCCAGGAAGAAACCTTTCCCCTTGATGTGGGGATAAATGACTGGGTGCATAGATGAAAGATCAGGGGCAGGAGGATTGGAGAAGATGTGAGGGAAAAAATATTTACCCAGAGGCTGGTGGGGAATCTGGAACTCGCTGCTTGTGAGGGTGGGAGAGGCAGAAACCCTCATCTCATTGAAGAAGAATTTAAGCGTATACTTTTGATGTCAAGGCATACGTGGGCCAAGTGCTGGGAATGGGATTTGAATAGTGAGGTAGCTGTTTTTACTGGTGCAGTTTCGATGGTCTGAAGGGCCTTTTCAAGTGCTAGGGCCTTCTATCACACTCTGAATGTAACTCCCTTCCTAAGAGCACAGTGTGGGTGTCTCTACACCCAATGGATTGCAGTGGTTCACTGACAGTGAAGCGGTAGCGGAAGGACATTGCAGTGACACATCGACGAGGTGGACCCAGCAGCGAGAGATGTGACTCTGACATTAGTTGGGTCTGGCGAAGGCCGTGGTGGAGGAGTATGGGCCCTAGCGGTGAAAGATGGCACCTGAAGAGTAGTGCCATTGATGTTGGTTGGGTCCAGTGTAGATGGCGGCGAGGTGATGGAGGAGGGATGGTGGCACAGGCATCATTGATTTTTATTTTAAATCATTAATGGGATGAGGGTGTCGCTGACCAGGCAGCATTTATTGTCCATCCCTAATTGCCCAGAGGGCAGTTAAGAGTCAACCACATTGCTGTGGGTCTGGAGTCACATGTAGGCCAGACCAGGTAAGGATGGCAGTTTCCTTCCCTAAAGGGCATTAGTGAACCAGATGGGTTTTTCCGTCAATCGGCAATGGATTCATGGTCATCATTTGACTCTTAATTTCAGATAATTATTGAATTCAAATTCCACCATCTGCTGTGGCAGGATTCGAACCATCCCCAGAATGTTATCTGGGCGTCCGGACAATAATACCACTAGGCCATCGCCTCCCTATGTGATGATGTGCTGGCTCAGGACTGGTGGATTCTCCTTAAGATCTATCTTTCTCTTTCTCCCTTATTCTTAAATTATTCAAAATGGCACCGAATCATGGTGACAAGTGAAAGCTGTTTGCTGTATTTTATTCTATTCAAACATGTGACAATGAAAATTATTCATCGTTCATAGTATCCAATGGGGAAATTTGTAATAGATGGATCTGTCTGGCTCTCCAGTTACTCTGCATCATGAAGGTAGCAGGGTCTCCTTGGCCTAACCTGTCAAAGAGGAGGCTTCAAGATAAAACCATGTAGGAGCAACAGTAAACACCCAGCTGTACTTTGACCTGTCTGTCTCCCCTCCACCTATCTTCTTCTCTATCCATCGTCTATCCACCTCCCCCTTTCTCCCTATTTATTTCAGAATCCCCTTCCCCTCCCCCATTTCTGAAGAAGGGTCTAGGCCCGAAACGTCAGCCTTCCTGCTCCTCTGATGCTGCTTGGCCTGCTGTGTTCATCCAGCTCTACACCTTGTTATCTCAGCTGTACTCATCACCCAGTGAGAGACTCCTGTGTGAACACCATGCAGAGGAACTGGACCAGGATGCTGTGCTGAACCATATCAGAGACTACAGACAGATTGAGAAGTTGCAGGAGGGCACCGTGTTCACACATATCATGTCATTGGAGACTTTGACATTTCAGCGATAGAGAGAGGCTGGATAAGCTCAGGTTGATTTCTTTAGAGCAGAGAAGGTTGAAGGGGGACCTGGTAGTGGTGTATCGGATGATGAGGGGCATGGATGGGGTGAATGAAAGGAAGCTGTTCCCCTTAATCAATGGGTTAATAACGAGGGGGCAGAATGTTCAAGTGAAAGGCAGGGGGTTTAGAGGGGACAAAACCAGGAACTGCTGGGGAAACTCAACAGGTCTGGCTGCATCTGTGGAGAGAGAAAATGAGTTAAGATTTTGGGTCTAGTGACCCTTCTTCAGAACTTCTGATTTCCAGCATCTACTGTTCATTGGTTTTTAGGTTTTGAGGGAAAACATTTTTACCCAGAGGGTGGGGATTGGGGGTGGGGGGCTCTGGAATGCACTGCTTGGGAGGGTATTTGAGGCAGGAAACCTCACAAACTTTAAAATGTATTTTGGTGGGCATTTGAAACGTTATAACATTCAAGGGTATGGGCCAAGTGCGGGAAAGCGTGGCTAGCGTAGGTAGTAGAATATTTTTGGAAGCGCAAACTTGATGAGCCAAATGGCCTCTTCTGTACTGTCTGGCTGTGTGATTCTAACATAATGGCTATGATAGTGAGGAAAACCTAATTCAATGGAATCAAACATGGAATAACAGGAAGCATGGGCACCAGTCTGCAGTCTGCAGGTGGTCACACGGTGGCTCAGTGGTTAGCACTGCTGCCTCACAGTGTCAGGGACCCAGGTTCGATTCCACCCTCGGGTGACTGTCTGTGTGGAGTTTGTACATTCTCCCCATGTCTGTGTGGGTTTCCTCCCACAGTCCAAAGATGTGCAGGTTAGGGTGGATTGACCATGCTAAATTGCCCCTAGTGTACAGGGATGTGAAGGCCAGGTGGATTAACCATGAGAAATGCAGGGTTACAGTGATGGGTTAGGGGGAAGGATTAGGCACCAGAACTGAATTCAGTAACTCCCTGGTGGGGTCTAACCAGAATTGGAACATAGTTTCAGATTCCTTCACATGAAGAGATGTGTGGAATAATAATTCAGCAGGTTCGATGAAGGGCACTAAGGGATTACCTCTCATGCAGAGAAGATGAAGATAAAAATTGTTCTCTGGAGATATCCAGCATCTGTTCAACACTTGGCTCCTGGCACTGAAAGCTTCGGTGATATCAGATACTGTTGAGTTACTTTTCATATCCTCTGTAATAGGCCAAAAGTACTTTTCCACTTGTGGCTTCAATTACAGTAAGTATGACCAGCAGTAAATGTTTCTATCAGGCAGATGTAATTCATTCCTAATGGAACTCTGAACTCTGAGAGGAGCGTAAAGCTGTCGACAAGAACGTTACTGAATCTCCCACATGTTAGCTTTCATCGTGAGGCAAAGTTAATGCAAAATGCCAAGGCTCCAATAGCAGATGCCGGTTGGATTGGGCGGATTAGCTTTGAAAGGTGATGCTAATGGTGGATTAGTTCTTTGTTGATGTTAGGGTTTGAATTTTAAACACTTTTACACCTTTGGAGAAAAGGAAATTTGATGAGGTGTAGACCTTGAGATTTTCAGGGTCTTAGGGAGATTGCAACACAGGGAAGATGTAGAGAATGGTGAGCAGGACAGGATGCAGGTCCGACGAGATATATAGGAGCAGAAGTAGGCCATTCAGTCCATCAAGTCTGCTCTGCCATTCAATGAGATTATGGCCAATCTGGTAATCCTCACTTCCACATTCCTACCTTTTCCACATAAATTTGATTCTCTTCCTGATTAAAAATCTGTCTATATCAGCCTTGAATATACTTAATGATCCAGCCTCAACAGGCATGTGTGGTAAAGAATTCCACAGATTCACTGCCCTCAGAAAGAAGAAATACCTCCTCATCTGTCTTAAATGGGCGATACCTTATTCTGAGATGATGCCCTTTGGCCCTTGATTTTCCCATAAGGGGAAACAACTTTTCAACATCTACCCTGTCAAGTCCCTCAGAAATGTGTACATTTTAATAAGGTCATCTCTCATTCTTCTGAACTCCAATGATTTACAGGCCCAACCTACTCAACACTTTCTCATAGGACAATCACTCCATACCAGGATCATTGGATTGAACCTTCTTTGGATTGACTCCAATGCCACATATACCCTGTCTACCCTTTCCACATCTACCCCGTCATGTCTTCGACGACACCTGTATGTTTCAATAAGGTCATCTCTCACTCTTGAGTGCAGGCCCAAACTACATAACATTTCCTAAGGGAATTAAGGGTTACAGAGAGAAGGCAATTGAATGGAGTTGAGAAACATATCAGCCATGATTTAATGGTGAAACAGACTCGATAATCTGAATGACCAAATTCCGCTTCGATATCTTCAGTCTTATGGTCATAACACAGTCCCTCCATGCCTGGGATAAACCTAGTGAACCTTCTCTGGGCTGTATCCAATGCAGTGTATGTTTTCTTAGATACAGGGCCCAAATCTATTCACTGTATTCCAGCTGTGGTCTGACGAGGAAGGGGGACAGTCAGAGGAGCACTAATCAATGTATTTTCACAAAGAGTTTTTGGTGGGAGAGAGTGTAGAGAAGCTTTATTCCTTATCTAATCCCGTGCTGTCCCTGTCCTCAGAGTATTTAATGGGGGGACAGTGTTGAGGGAGCTTTCTTCTGTATCTAACCCCATGCCGTCCCTGTCTTGGGAGTGTTTGATGGGTACAGTGCAGAGGAAGATTTACTCTGTAGCTAACCCTGTGCTGTCCCTGTCCTGGGAGTGTTTGATGAGGACAGTGTAGAGGAAGCTTTACTCTGTATCTAACACCGTGCTGTTCCTGTCCTGAGAGTGTAGAGGACTGGGGGATAGTGTAGAAGGAGTTTTACTCTGATGGGGTGTGTTTTTTGTTGTTGGACAGGGGAGAGGTGATGAATGGTGGCTTCGGCCTGGTCCTGGATGGCTCTGCAGAGGCTGAGGAGCGTGCGAATATGATGCTGAACTGGGACGTATCCAATGGGGTGAGTGAGACATATTTCCACTCTGCTTCACTCTGTGTTCCGATGAAACACGTTCGATGAAGTCAGCAAATATTTGCATGTCTGTTAAAACAATAATCACCACAGAAAGAAGCCATTTGGCGCATCATTCCTGTGCCAGCTCTGAAAGCGCAGTCTGACAAGTATCTCTCCCTTGCCTTATCCCTATTGTTCCTCAAATGTCTTGCTTCAGTTGTTGATTTAATTATTACAAATGAATTGCTTTTGAACACACTTCTAACAATCACTGGTGAAGCATCTTTAATGTAAAATGCTGCATTAGTGCCTCTCACAGGAGCGCTGTGAATCAACACCTGCCACCAAGCTATGAAAGGCATCGTTAGGACAAATGAAAACTTCGGTCAGAGTTAGCTTTAAAGGAATGTCTTGAAGAACGAAAGAGAAATGGAAAAGAAGAGCATTGTGGGGAGCCATTTCCAAAGCTTAAAGCTTAGACAAGTGAAAACAGGGCTACTAATGATAGAATGATTAGCATAAGCGGACAAAGCAACCCCCGCTTGATTTTCACCACATCCACAAACATCCACTCCCTCCACCACCGACGCTCAGTCGCAGCAGTGTGTACTATCTACAAGAAAGTCACCAAAGATCCTTAGAAGCACCTTCCAAACCCACAACCCACCGAGAAGGACAAGGGCAACAGATACATGGGAACACCACCCCCTGCAAGTTCCCCTCCAAGACACTCACCATCCTGACTTGGAAATATATCGCTGTTCCTTCAGTGTCGCTGGATCAAACTTCCTGCAATTCCGTCCCTAAGGGCTTTGTGGATCTACCTACAGTGCATGGACTGCAGCGGTTCAAGAAGACAGCTCACCCCCACCTTCTCAAGGGGCAAACAGGGATGGGCAAGAAATGCTGGGCCCAACCACTGACATCTATATTCCACAAGTGAATAAGAAAAATTGAGATAGACTAGAGGTCAGATTTAGAGGCGTGCACCAAGCATCAGGCTTGGAGGTGGGGAGGGTTGTATAGACAGGGAGGGGTGAGGCCATAGAGGAAATAGAAACAAAAAGTGAACAATGCGCTTAAAATCAAGGCAATGTTTAACCATTAGATAGCAAGGTGCAGAGCTGAATGAATACAGCAGCCTATGCAGCATCAGAGGAGCAGGAAGGCTGACGTTTCGGGCCTAGACCCTTCTTCAGAAA